AAAACGAAGGGGAAGAAGAAAAAAAAAAAGAGGAGAGAGAGAGAGAGAGAGAGAGAGAGAGAGAGAGAGAGAGAGAGAGAGAGAGAGTGGGGTGGGTGTTAAGGGGGCGCGGTCGGTGGCTTTTCCTGCCCGAACCCATTCCTGCCAGAACCCAAAAACGAGAAAAAAAAAACAAAAAAAGAGGGGCCACGTCCCTTTTTTGCCGATTATCGAACCGGTAGGCCGTATAACGAGCAGTTCACTGTTTTTCTTGCTGTTTTGAACTGCTCACGGCCCAATCTTGCGGTGGACTGTTATTTCTGCGAATTCTGAACTGTGCAGCGGTCACAGGTGCAGTTTTTTAAAGATATATTCAAGACCTTTCAATCATTCAGCAGAGTCTGGCTGTTGGGGGGGGGGAGAGGGAGGAAGGATAGGGAGAGTGGTGTGGAGTGGTGAGTCGGGCAAGGAAGGGGAAATGTTAAACCACCAGTCCTTGGCCCAGCTATTGGTCGTGGGAAAAGGAGTAGTAGAAATGTTTCTATTCAGATCAATTTGGGCGCTCCTGTAGTAGCCCGTACGTTTCCTAAAATCGTGGCGCGTTAACAGGCACGACTCTAGGAAGTACAGGTGGTTTAAATAGGAATTACAAGTTAGCATTTAATGAATGGACTGAGATAGATCCCTTAATTCCCCTCCGCCCAATGGGGGATTTCCCAAACCCCTTCCCACCCCCTCAGAATACTATTGTCCCGTTATCATGGTACAGCCTGGATGAGTAGCAGGGCTAGTGCTTTATGTTCATCTGGCACCCTGGGCTGGGTGAAGAGGCTCATTACTCATCTCCCGCCTCCTCAAGATTGTATTCAATGGGACGCTGGACCCAGTTTCCAGTAGGTGCAGCTCCCCGCCAATAGATGGAGTGATAGGTACAGGTATACTAGTTGGGGGTGCTCATTTCACCTCAACAGGCTCAACTAGTATTTCCTGCAGAGTCTTAAAAAAAAATAAAAAAATAAAAAAAATTGACCGAGCCCGAACATTTATATATATAGGGGTTGGGGGGCCCCAGGGGGCATTGCCCATCACTCCTGAACACACACACACACACACACACACACACACACACACACACACACACACACACACACACACACACACACACAGGCCAGGGGCCTGCTGACGTGGTCTGCTGGCGTGCCCTGCTGACGTAGTCTGCTGACGTGGCCTGCTGACGTGGCAACTCACCAATGTCGTCGCAGGGGGTACCCGGAGATGGATAGAGAAGGTAAGGCCAGAGGGGGCAACAACATAGGTGGGGACGGGGGGTGGGGAGAATCGCTCAGATAAAGAGCCACTAATCAAAAAAGAAAAGTTTGAATTTTTGCAAAAAAAAATTCGGAATAATAAAATCCCGAGTTTTGCAAGTTCAGTAGGTCTCCCAACCTCCCTTGAAGTCCGAAACGATCAATGAGAGAAAAAAAAAATTGACTTCAGACTGCAAATGATTGATAAAACTGACTAACAGAATCCTAGAACTGCGGGGAAAAAAATCCAAAAAGAAATAAAAATATTCGGACTTACTCAGATGAGAGTATTCGCAGTCTGGAAAATAATACCTGCAGGAGGGATTTCCCGTACCGTTTTCAGAGAAACGAAATTCGAAAAAGAAGAAATTACGAATTTCTAAGTAATGGGAAATGCAACAGGAAATCGAAATTTTCGAAAAGAAGGATATTCCCGATTTTCAACAACGAAATTTCGAAATTTTTGAAGGAAAACGAAAAATGGAAATTTCAGATGTTACGCTATTACGATTTTCTACAACAGAAATAACGAGAAAACAAAATCCAAGG